GCACCGGGCCAGAGAGTGGAGCTGGTGTTCCTCGTCGACGCCTCGGCCTCCGTCGGCGCCGAGAACTTCTTCAACGAGATCAAGTTCGTCAAGAAGCTGTTGGCGGACTTCGCCGTCTCGTATAACCAGACCCGGGTCGCTGTCATCACGTTTTCGAGCAAGAGCAAGGTCGGTTGGTCTGTCTGTCTGTCTGTCTGAGGTCATCGGAGGTTGTGGGAATGATCAGTTTTGGGAAGGGGGAGGAGTATTGACGTGAGGGCATGTTAGAGAGAGGGTTATGTCCATCGCTTTGACATTTCTAGATGGGTTGTTAACGATTTCAAATGCAACAACGACAAAATATTGCATGGAATTATTAGAGACTCGTCAATAAATCACTCTTAATTCATCTTTGGCTCACAGGTGATCAGACACATCGATCACGTGACCCAAGCATCCCCGGACAACCACAAATGCACCCTTTTAGAGACGGAATTGCCAAGGATCAAGTACTCAGGTGGCGGAACCTACACCTTGGGAGCAATGTTGGAAGCTCAGGTAATTAAACATTGTCGTTTGTTAGGTTGTATATGTCTGTAGTGTTTTGTTTGTAACCTGTAATGACGTTCTATACCTGCGTGATGCAAGATCTGGGAATTTAGAATGTCTTAATTTACCGAAGAGAATGAGGGAGGTGAAAGAAGAAAGCACGACGAAATATGTAATTAAGAAATATAAATTCATATTTCCCTATATTTTTTTTACCTAATTAAAAACATCATTTCTCTCCCTGCTTTCCACCGACCCTTCCTTCTTCTCTCTCACGTTTTATTCCCCTTCCTGCTCCTCCTCCACCCCTTTCCCCTCTCTCTCTGCCTCTTTACCCCTTCCTCCTCTCCCATTATTTTCCCCTCTCCCTCTCTTCTTTCGCTCCTTCCCGCTTCTCTCATCCTCCTTCACCCCTTTCCCTTTCCGTCTCCTCATTTATTTTTATCCCTTCCCCCTTCTCCCCTTCCCATTTCCACCTCATCTCCTATTACCCTACACCCCTTCCCCTCCCCTTCCCTTCTTTCGCTCCTTCCTCTCCCATACTCCTCCTCTCCCTTCCTCCCTCTCCTTTCTCACCCTTCCACCTTACCTCCCATCATCCTCCGCCCCTTCCTCCTCCCCCTGCTGCAGAGTGTCCTCGCCCTCGCCCGCAACGACGCCCGCAAAGCCGTGTTCCTGGTGACGGACGGATACAGCAACGGCGGCGACCCAAGACCCGCGGCCGCTTTCCTGCAGGCTCGGGGCGTCACCATCTTCACCTTCGGCATCAGGAATGGCAATGTCAAGGTATCGGGTTATTCTTCGTGTTCCTGGTATCGTGTGTATATAATTGCTAATGCCAGTAATTATAAGAGTAATATCAAATATAGCGTTCATGGTGTTGATAATAATTGGGATAATAACGATAGTAATGATAAGCATAATGATAATAATTATGATAATTGTGATGATGGGAACAATAATGATAATGAAGGTAATTCTTTCTAAGACAAACGCGGCTATTCTCCGATTTAGAATACTATTTTCTAAGAGAAATACATGTGTACTGGAGATATATTGTGATTTCGAATGGCGCACCCGTCAGAGATTTCCCCTACTCCAGCTAACAATGTTGGGGGATCCTGTGGGGGTGGGAATTTCGCTCATTACAGGCATTAAAGAACAAAAGAAAGTGGAAAATGAAATTTGATAAAGAAAGTAGAAAATAAAAAAATCCGGCAACGAAAGATTCGGCACCGCGTTGAGTGAACGAACGAGCGAAGGACCCCTATCGTAAACGCACAAACGATCTGAAAGATCGCCACGTAATCCAAAAACATCCTTAACCCGGGGGCTCTGCCAACGGACTCCCTCCCGATCGCCGTGTTTTCCTACCGGGGGCTCCGCTCCCTGTACCCCCGTTGTCTCAGAACAGTAATTTCAAAACAATGTACCCTCCTGCCTACCTTAAACGGATGGAGGATAAAGTTTGGCTGAAGTCAAGAGGAACTGGTGGAAACACTTGTTTGGCTTCGGGAAATGCTTCATGAACAATCAATCAATTTGCTCTTATTTCCAAACTTTGCACAACTGACAGGTTCACTTAACACACCGTGACTTGTCAACAAGTTTCACAGAATTTCCACTATTGGCTTAAAAAGGACTATAACCAAGATCACATTCAGCACAAAATACACTATTGACTGTCGAAGAATAGTTAAGGAACTGTCGAAAATCCCGATGGGGAAAACGCGCATGCACAAAAAGTTGTTATGACAAATCTAAAATAATTCACAACAGCTATATATTTTTTTTATGATATTACATAAAAACACAAGATGCCCAAATATATCGGAGTAGATGGGAACAAATAGGAAAAACTCATTTTCACAAGTGCGTAGTAACACACGAACTAGTTGATATGTCGCAATGATGAGTTATTCGGTTAGTTTACTATTACATGTAGAGCGCAGGAACTTTAAATGCTCCTTATAACCACAATATGCGAAGGTACTCATTTTTTTCTCTTTCATGTTGATTAAATCATATAGAATGGAAATGCATATTTTTCTTTGTGATACAGTGCGCGTTGATATCCTCCAGTTTAACCAATAATAATAATAATGATGATGATAATGATAATAACAATATTACCGATAACAATAATAAAAACTATTATAATGATAACCGTGATAATAAAAATGATGGTAATAATCATCATTATAACTATTATTATCATCATCATTTAAAAAACGATAAAAATGTTGATAATACTCCTGCCAGGAACTGTATGACATGGCGTCTGTGCCCAAGGAGGAACACTCTTACATTCTCGACACCTTTGAGGAGTTCGAAGCCCTGGCGAGGAGGGCTCTCCATGAAGGTAAGACGCTGCTCGTCGTGATGGTGATGATGGTGGTAATGATAATGATGGTGGTGAGGACGATCACGATGATGAGGGTGATGAAAATAACAGTGGGACAGAATTGTTGTTTTAATGATAGTAATGTGCATGTTTTTTTTTTCATAATAACAGTGTGATCAGTGTAGTATCAGGATAAGGATACTTATTATCAAGGCTATTGCATCCAAATCATTACCAGCGTATCGGACTCAAAAAAAATGTTCCATAGATATAACACACCATCCTGCTAACCTAAAAATAAAATATATATAGATAGATAGATAAAGGAATAAATAAATACATAAGAATATAATAAATACGTAAAAAATGAAAAATATACATATAAATAAATAGGTAGATTAAATAGAATGATAGATAAAAAACGATAACAAAACGTTTCCCAACACCTTCCCTCACTCCTTCGCCGTCTCCTGCGCCTCCTTCAGACTTGCACAGCGGCTTCCTCATCCATCAGCCTCCTCGGACGTGTGGGAAGCTGTGCGAGGAAGGAACCTACTGCTGTGACGCCGACGCAGCCTGCACGTGCGACACCCACACGGGACACTACGCCTGCACGTGTCGGAAGGGTTATTATGGCACGGGGATTCTGGGCGACTGCAGACGTAAGGATTTTTTTCCGTTATGTTTTGTCTATCTCGATCTTGTTTTTTTTTCATCTTCTTTTGTCTTTATTCGGACTAATTTTCTTTATTTTTTTTTTTTTCATTTCTGTTGATATTTATTTGTCTAGTATATTTATTTTATCTCATTTTCCTCTCATTTCATTTCAAGCCGTTCGTTCCATTTTTAGTTTTTTTTTTCTAATTTTCTATATTTATACATATACACATACATACATATGTATAGGAATATGTATATACATACATACATATATATATATATACATATATGTATATACATATACATATATATATATATATATATATATATATATACATATATATATATATATATATATATATATATATATATATATATATATATATATATATATATTATATATATATATTCCTTCTAATGTCTCCTCTCGCTTTTTCTATCTTTTTTTAATCATTTTTGGGCTTACTTGACTCTTCCGTCTCTACTCTTCACCATTTTACTAAAAGTGATGTACAATACATTTCTCCTCATCCAATCCTTCTTTCCTCTAATCCATCAAAATAAAAGTATTCCAGGCTTCCTCACATACCTTTCCCAAATAACGACAATGTAAAAAAAAAAAAAAAAAAAAAAAAAAAACTTTGCCTTTTCCAGCGTGTCCCCCTGGTACCTACCGCACGCACCAAGGGCCTGGCGACGTGTCCTCTTGCTCGCCGTGTCCCGACCCGCACATGGTGAGCGACGCGGCCTCCACCTCGGCCCAGCAGTGCTATTGCAAGAGGGGTTTCAAGCAAGTGGGACAGGAGTGCCTCAGTAAGTAAATGGGTGTCTAATGCGTGTGTGTGTGTGTGCGTTTGTGTGTGTGTTTTTTTTTGTGTGTGTATGCATAAGGACACAATCGTAGATTAATATTTCATGGTCATAATGATTTATTCTACAACTTTCAAACCTTTAAGAACTTATCAGATCAAACATGTTCTTTTGTTAAGGTTTGAGATCTGTTCTCTACTTGCCTCATTTATACCTGATTAGTTGATCGACGTGACCATACTTTATCACTGTATTGCTTTCCCTTATAAAATCCACTAGAGAGAGAGAGAGATAAGAGAGAGAGAGAGAGAGAGAGAGAGAGAGAGAGAGAGAGAGAGAGAGAGAGAGAGAGAGAGAGAGAGAGAGAGAGAGACTGACTGACTCACTGACTGACTAATAATGTACCCCCAAGGTTGAAAAATATACTAGTTGCTGCTAACGGGCCAATTTCTCCCCCCAGTGCTGCAGTGCCAAGTGCTCGCGCCTCCTGAAAACGGCTACTTCGTGCGCAACACTTGCAACAACGTGGTCAACGCGGCGTGCGGCGTGCGTTGTAATCCTGGCTACACCCTCAAGGGCTCCTCCATCAGGATGTGCGGCGAGAATGGCGAATGGACGGGATGGAACGCCCGATGTGTCAGTCAGTAACTCGGAGACAAGTTTAGAATTTCACTTTAGCAGCGATATATAGGAAGTGTTATAGATTCTATGTTACTGCAGGAAAGAGTGTCATTTCTGTATAACTCAGTGAGCGGATTTTCACTACCATTTAATTAATTCACAGACAACATTCAGCTAAGAGGTTCACATATCTAAAAAAAATCCTCTTCCACCTCTACAGTGAAATCCTGTCAAAAGCTCAAGCCCATGGCCCACGGGACGATGGTGTGCACGCAGCCCACGCCCATCATGGACACCGAATGCCACTTCACCTGCGATCCGGGATACCAGCTCGTGGGGTCCAAGATGAGGACCTGCCTGCCGGTGGCCATGTGGGACGGGATACCAGCTTATTGCAAACGTAAATGGTGTTTGGAACATGTTCCTATTTGGTGTAGCTATGGTATCCTATGCGTGTAATGTTTATATCAATGTTTCTAGATGCATGAAATATATGTTCTGCTGTTGGGATAACCTGAATAAACTATCTGAGATATGTCTACTCAAGATGATAGTTTAAAAGTAGTTTGTAAATCATTCATGAAGACGAATCATCAATCTAAACTTCCACATACGACATCATTAAGAAACATTCGCAAAACAAATCAATCGACAAATCAACGCGAGACTCAACTCCGGACTCTCGTTCCAGCCATCTTCTGCCCGCGCCTCCCCCCTCTCCTCAACGGCAGGATCCGACCCGGCTCCTGCTCCTCCTCGAAGTCCAAGTACGGGTCGAGGTGCGAGTTCGCCTGCGACCCCGGCTACCAGATAAGCGGACCGATTAAGACCACTTGCATCGACCCCGGAGTGTGGTCGGAGGGCCATAAGTCCCCACGGTGCGTAGGTACGTGTCATGTGGTCGTTGTTCGAGGTCGTCAGGTGTAAGAAATGCGTTCGATCAGCTGGCTCCTTAAGAATTTAAAAGCCTAGAACGAATATGATTAATTGTGTCAATGAAAGAATGACAAATCAATCAAATAATACCCAAAACTTTCTCTAGTCCTAAACAATTTAACACTATAAACAAACAATATGTATAATTATATGTATGTGTATATAAATACATAATGTGACATATCTACCAATAAATAAATAAATACGCATATACACACACATGCATAACCATATATACTCACATATTCCATCTCCTTATTTTCCTCGGCCAGACATAACTCCGCCAGTGATTCAGTGTCCAGAGAACATAACAACAGAGACTGAACCAAACGAAGTCTATGCGAATGTCACATGGAATCCACCACATGTAAAAGGTACGAATTCTTTGTTTTTATTTACATTGACTGATGACTTTGAGGAATTCTCCTGCCGTATTTTATATAAGTTCAGGAATTATTAATCGTTTTTTTTCTGATACCATCGGGAGGAACGCGAGATTATGTGATGATAAAACGTTGAAGAAAATAAATGAGTCATGCATATAGATAAGAATATAAGGAAATGGTTAATTTCACATTCAGATAACTCCAAGGGCAAGATAAAATTACACACAGTCCCCGCCACCAGCCAGCCCATGAAAATGAAAATAGGGAACCACACCATTACTTACGTCGCCATGGACAAACTAGGGAACAAAGCATCATGCGAATTCTCGGTCACCGTTGTAGGTAAGATTATCATTTTCATTATTGTTATCATTGTCTTTTTCATTTGCATTATTATCATCATTATAACTATCATTATCATTATTGTTTTTATTATCACTAATGTTATTATAACTTATCATTATCTTTATCATTATTAGTATTATTATCTGTTAATATTAGTTCATTCTACCTGCACGTTTGGCTGTAACGTCACAGAAAAAATAAGACAAAAAGGTTAGTTTACTTGAACACTTCTTAGATTTTAAAATATAAGACTTAGGCTTCACTACCTTAACATCTCATCAAATACATACTCAACATCACTACCTCAACATCCCATCACATGTGTGCTCAGGATCATCCCATCAACATCACCACCTCAACATCTCTCAATAACACCACAGACAAGGAACCGCCACGGATAGACGAGTGCCTGTCCCCGCCTGTCTTCCTGTCCTACGAGGAGGTGGTGGACGTGTACTGGGAGGAACCCGTATTTTCGGATAATTCGGGAGTTGACGTGAAGGTGAGATGAAGTTGTCTTGCGTGAGGGTGACGGTCGTTTGGGAAATGAAGATTGGTCATGTTGAATTATCTTTCCTTTGAAATTTGCTTCGTGTCTTCATACTGAAGTGAAATTGCGTTATCGTCGATATATATTTTTTTTAATCTTTATTTAGTTGTAGCGTTATCATCAAGATTATCACGAATATTATCATTGCTCTCACCTTGAACTATGATTGTTATTAGTACTGTCATTATCATCATTTTTATAATTATGTTTATTATCATTATCATTACAATACTCCATTATAATTATTAGTAGCCCTGTCACTTTCTTTACTGTAGTCATATCAATAATTCCCATTAGTAGCATTATCCTTATCCTTATCTATGTAAAGCAAGGCAAAAATTCTAGGAAAATCTGTCTAAATCTCAAACTAAGGTTGCCTGCTTCAGATAACGCGATCCAAGGAGCCCGGGCAGTTCCCTCAAGGAGACACCATGGTCGAGTACTGGGCGGAAGACGCGGCAGGCAACGTGGCAACTTGCAACATAACCATCACCGTTCAAAGTATGCAACTGCGGACGTGAAGGATGAAATATTGAAGCATTTTGATAAAGGGCATTTGAGACATTTGCGGTGTTATCAAAATGTATGGCTACTCAGCAAAACTAACACTGTCACTCCCTCACCCTCTCTCTCTGTCTGTCAGTCTCTCTCTCTCTCTCTCTCTCTTCTCCCTCTCTCCCTCCCTACCCTCTGTCTCTCTCTCCCTCGCTCTTTTCCTTTCATTTCCTCACTCTTTATCGCTCTCTTCTTCCTTTCTCTCTCTCCTACCCTCCAAGAAAAGAACATACCCCCCCCCCCACAATAAAAAAAACCGACCCCCCTCACCTACCCCTCCTTCCTCTGCCCCACAGAACACGCCTGCCAGATGCCCGTGGACCCTATCAACGGAGCGGCCAACTGCACCGAGAATCCTGACGCCGTTTTCTGTACTCTCACCTGCGACGACAGCTACGCCTTCGCCATGAGGCCCCAGCAGGACTACTTCTGCGCCTACGATGGGATGTGGCTGCCCGACGAGAATCCGATGCCCTTCCCAGACTGCTCGGGTGCGTTTGCTGTTTGTTCTGATTAACTTATTTATACGTTATATGTATTTATTTTTTATATATTTTTTTAGTTTTTAATAATTTATTAATTACATTTTTTCTTTGCTGCTGCCATTATTCTTGCCGTTATTAATGCTGGTTTTATTATTAGCATTATTAATATTATCGTTATTATAATTTTTGTTATATAATCATTATTATTATTATTATTATTATTATTATTATTATATTATTATTATTAGCACTAACATGGGTATTGTTATTATCATTATTATCATTATTATTATTATCATAATTATTATTATTATAATTATTATTATTATTATAATCTTTATTATTATTAGTAGAAGTAACAGTAGTAGTAGTAGTAGCAATGGTAGCAGTAGTAGGAGGGTAGCAGTAGCAGTAATAGTAGCATTATTATTACTGTTATTACTATCACTGCTATTGTTCTTTTTATCATTATCATCGTCATTATTGCTGTTGTTGTTTGACTTCAGTGACGTCCGTGTCAAACAGCATCTCCCAGTACGGCGAGATGGCAATGGGAGAAGAAGATGATTCAATCTGCGACGACATCTTCTTCATGGGACAGGTAAATTGCACTATTTATCACTGATTAAAGACAGGTAAGGCAAATATTCTCCAAATCCACTCTGATTGGTACAACTCATATCAAACTGAAATTATCTTCTCATTTCTAAGGTTGAAAATCAGCTAGAAAAGAAACTGGAAGACGCACTTACGGCCATGTGTTCTGATGACGTGGTGTGCGAGGTGGCGGCGGTGGAGGCCGTGTGCGAGAGCATCCTCGCCGACGCAGAGGAAGAATTCAACTCCATTGGATTCTTCAGGAGGAGAAGGTCGGCGGAAGAAGACGCCCTGAACCGATACTGGCCCCAGCGACACTCCGAGGCAGGCTGGCTGTACTGGCAGAGGGGCGCGGCGGGCGTGGCGGGAGGGAGGGTCAAGCGAGACACTCTTCTGCGGGAGTTCGATGTGCTCGACGACATCCAGCGGTGGAAGAGGCAGTTCGGCCTGACGATTCAACAGTTTCTCGGCGAGAAGACGACGACTCAGGCCCCGGCCACCAGTAGGGGCGAGAACTACCTCGGAGTCCTCATCGACCTTATCTCCAAATCCCTCGCCTCCGACGTCAGCATGGTGCGCTTCAACTCCTTCCTCACCAAACTGAGTCCTCATGAGGGTGACTTCACAACCAACGACTTCCTCCAGGCTTTCTCGGAGGAGTTCGGCGAGGACAAGACCAAACGACTCCGCGAACTGGCCGGCAAGCAGCTGAGTGGCATGAAGATCCCGGGGCTTCATCCTGTTGACGAAACGCAGGCCAAAAATCGCACAGCGAGGGACAACGACAGTGATCCTTTCCCCTCGTTCCCCGGCGATGAAATCTCGTCGAATGACTACAATGTCGACTACGGTTCCCCTTCCATCATCTTCCCTGGGGACCTCGATCCGACGACGACCGCGCCCCCTGAGGGCAAGAAAACTTTCAAGATACGATTCACTGTAGAAGGTAGTCTAGTTGCTTTTTTTCTTCGTCTTTCCTGTCTTTATAACATCGTTGTTTTTTTCTTCGTCTTTCCTGTCTTTATAACAACTATTTGCGATCAATGATTCAGAGAATAAACCTTTGCATAGTTACCATGTCTCCCAAGAACTTTTTAAAATACACATACCTGATTTAAGTAATTTCTCAATCACAGGTCACGGTTCAGGAGCGAAGGACCAGGTAGGAGATGCCATGGATGGCCTTCTTAAAGCTGCGGGCGATGGCCAGCTAGACGTGAACTTTGGCCAACGGCAGCTCCGCGTGGCGGCCATAAGGCTCAAGGAAAACCCAGAATACCTTTGCGAACCCGGGAGCGTCTCGCAGGGTGACAAGTGCGGTGAGTGTGTATGTGAGTGACTGAAGAGTGAAGTGTGAGTGAATGAAGAAATTGGCTGGTTGGAACGTGAATGGTGAGTTAATCAATGAGCACATAAGCGTTTTGAATTACGGATATGCAAATATATAAGCATAAATATACAAACTTTTCTATACTGGGGAAAAATCAGATATAAATGCACAATTCATATTCATATTTTAAAAATATCTGCATATTCTTATATTTTTTAAATGTTATTGAAATATTTCTAAATATTCTAAACATTTTAAACACAATGACGAAGATGCAATAATGTAAATATTTTTTTTCTATACTGGGGGAAATCAAATATGTGTGACACCAAAATACATGCTGTTACATGAATTTGATGACCTAATCCTTTAACAGGAAGTAAAGGCATTTTAAGCATGGCCTTTTTCTTGCTAACTCAAGCATTTCGCTTGCTTCCTCAAGCGACCGCCGTAGATGGCTAGACTTGCGCTTGCTTAGGCAAGCGGTGATATATAATTTTTTCACGGTATCTGATTTTGTAATTTTTTAAAAATCATATTCAAATGAATTGAAATTAACTGAAAACAAAGGAGATTATGGGAATAAAAAGTGATTTACTTATAAATAATAAATCATTATAAGACGAACAATTTACCTCTTACTGTACTGTTACTCCTCGTCTCTCTAAATCGAGAATATATCTGCTATTCTATGAAATAGAGAATATTTCAAGTGAAAAAAGTTTGAGAAATTCTAGCAACATTCTTCTGTTGATATTGTATTCGATGATTTGTTATATTTAACCTCATAAAATCGGATATATGGGAATGGGTAGGCCTATAATTTAATTCAGGGATGTTCATTTGTTTTGATAACGCGTCAGAATGAAAGAGCTGCCAATCGGAAGTGTCATTGTTTTAGAGGCACACTATATGAATATAGGAGAAAATATTGCGCTTTGTTAAGACGTTTGGGTAGATTCACTCTGCCATCTTGATGCGGCGCTAGCTTGTCAGTTGTTTTGAAATGCGCGCTCAAACTGTTACCAACCGCCAATGGAATAAACTCCACTCTCGATTTATACATTAGGTATCTCTTTCCGAGATTGTTGGTGGGAATACTTGTCTATTGCTTTTAAAACCCGAGTTTGTATATGCTGTGTGTTATTTTGACATTTCTATGTTCTCCAATGACTGTTATGATTTGTACTTTATAGAAACACTTCCACATGTCTGGCATCACTTAACAGGGCCTGCCTGCCTTGGAAAGCGATTTAAGCAAGGAACGGTACAGTTCTTGGCCTATTGGCAAGAATTCTTGCTCAAGCGCTCCCCTGCTTAAAACGCTTTTAAACCCTAAATAAATACAGCACGTTACATTATCATAAAAAACACGTCATATTTTTTTCGTTTCATAATCCCAATTTCCACACCCGCAGTGAAGTGTCCTGTTGGTACCTTCTTCAACGTGGTGCTGAAGGAGTGCCAGCCGTGCCCGAGAGGTTCATTCCAGCCTCAAGAGGGCCAAGTGTCATGTATCGTATGTCCCTCCAACACCTCCACGAAAGTTAGCAGTGCCAAGAGTGATCAGGACTGTAAAGGTGAGTCCCAACTTGAATGAGTGTTCAATATTTGTTATATTTACTTGCCGTTCATAAAAGACTTTGCTCCCATCCGAGGATAGGCAACACTGCGACACTATATTTCTTCATGATGATAACCATTACACAATTACGCCGGAAGTGAAACAGGAATGATATGATGTATAAAATCGTGATAAAAGTCCCACGCCATCCGACTCCACGTTGACCCACAGCCCAGTGTCTGCCGGGGTCCTTCTCCGACGACGGGCTGGAGCCGTGCGTGACGTGCGACCTCGGCCAGTACCAGGACGAGTACGCCTCTCTCTCGTGCGCTTCTTGTCCGCATAACACCACGACCTGGAGGAGAGGTTGCTGGGTCATCGAGGAGTGCCAGCGTGAGTCAAACAAGTCGTAAAAGTATGGCGTATTTTTAAACATCTAAACTGCAGCGCATTCAAATTCTCAGGACTATATAGAACATATTTTGTACCAGACAAGGCAGTAAATGTGCAGCGAAGCACCTGCATGAAAAAAGGCTATTAAAACACTGCTGGTTTGATGGTAGTACATCAATACTTTCCAGATATCATGATCGGCCACGTTGTCACGTCTTTTACTAACGAAATCTCGTTCCCCAGCGGCCTGTCCCCCTGGCGCAGTGTCCGAGACGGGGCTGCAGCCTTGCTTCGACTGTCCCGTTGGCTTCTTCCAGGAGAAGAGCGGCCAGACCGAGTGCTTCAGGTACGTGTCAGCGAAATGCTGTTGTTATTGTTCCAGTCCTATTGTAGTAGATAAATTTGCTTGTCCCTTGCTTATAATAGGATAAACATTACAAGGACAGAATTATAAGTATGGGAAATATATTTATTATTTTTTTACGATAGGGTAACTAATCATTTCCCTGTCTCCAGGTGCCCCCATGGCGCAGAGACTGACGGCCAAGGCTCCACCTCCTTGTTCCAATGCCATGGCGTCACTGAGGGAGATCAGGTACGGTTCACATCACTGAAAGAAAGGAAAGAAAGCTGGCGGATGTTTTTTTTTTCTCCGATAATAATCAAAGAATGTGTGTGTGTGTGTAAGTGTGTAAATCACGTCTTGATCCAACTGACATACCTCTACTATGCTCAGGCGGCGCACACCAGCCTGGACACCCTGACCATCAACGACTGCTTCAGCACACCTTGCCTCAACGGCGGGTCTTGCAGCCCCTTAGACTTCGGATACGTGTGCCAGTGTATTCCCGGGTATTCAGGTAAATCATTAGGTCCTTAAACTTCCTTTGGGTGTCATATTTGGCTGAAATGACGGACCATAAATTAGATATCTCATACTGAAATCTAGTGAATCGAGTTGCAATTCACTCCGAAATCCCTGCAAATCCTCAACCCTGAATAATGAACCCCGTAATTTCCTGAGCCTAATGCCTCATCCTCCAACCCCCGTCCGCCTCCTCCAGGCCAGCAGTGCGAGACCGAGATCGACGAGTGCGAGAGCGACCCCTGCTTCAACGGGGGGACTTGCATCGACATGCTCGACGCCTTCCACTGCGAGTGTCCGCCAGGCTTCACGGCCTCCCAGTGCGACGTCGACATCAACGAGTGTGAGCCCGACCCCTGCCAGAACGGCGGCACCTGCGCCGACCTCACTGATTCGTTCAAGTGTATCTGTCAGAGTGGCTACACTGGTAAGTTGTTGGCATGAAGCAGAAAATATTTAGCCAATAAAAATATTGCAATGGACCATTTATTATTGTAAAGATAAGTCTGCTTCATTCGCAAAGATTGATGCCCTATTTGTAAATCATGTTCTAAATCCTATTGCCACGAAAACATCATCGCTGCCCCTCACAAGGGCAGGCGAAGTACAGGACCAACTCGAAACTATTTCAGGCGAGGTGTGCGACATAGACATCGACGAGTGCGCCACCACCCCATGCGCAGGGGGGGCGACGTGCGAGGACCGCCTCAACGACGTGCTGTGCGTGTGTCCCCCGGGCGTGACGGGGCGGTACTGCGAGACGCCCATCAACGAGTGTGAGTCCTCACCCTGCGAGCACGGCCTCTGCATCGACCAGGTCAACGCATTCAAGTAAGATTTTTAAGATACATCAGCTATTTTTACTGATAAGACAGTGAGCCAGCATGTATATTTAACTTGAGGTTACATAACATTGTGCCCTTTAATAAGAGTTCAGGATTTCATTATTGTCTTAAATGTATACCGTATAAGCATGGTAGAAATTTAAATGCTTTTTCTATTTCTTTCATCTTACCAGTCCAAACGGTGTGATTTAACAAAAAGTGTTACACAGAGCAAAAGTTTAAATTCCATATTTTCTTTTCGCTTACTAAACAAATTTGCGGGTTAGGTGCGTGTGTGAGCCAGGTTTCGAAGGCGACACTTGCGCAGTAAACACAGACGACTGTGCCTCTGCCCCGTGCCAGAACGGTGGCACTTGCACGGACTGGGTCAACGGCTTCTCGTGCGCCTGCAACCCTGGATACACTGGCACCAACTGCGAAACAGGTACGTTTATTCGCGCAGTTAAGAGCAATATTCTGTCGCAAACTAAAGCGAGTGATTCATATACAATCTCTTAATACAAATATTATTCAGTTATTTTAATCTAAATAATGAAGTGTGAGCAATATACACTACCTGTCTCTCATGTCTCAGTAGTATAACGCGCCAAACTCGATATGCGAATCACTAAACTCATTCGAATCCGCAGAGATGTCAACGGATTTCGTCCTCGACTTCCCCACGTCAGGAATTTTGGATTACGCGGCCATAGAAAAGATTTCTGGTCCCATGAACAGCGTGAGTATCCTGGATGCTGGTTAGAGAAATAAACTTTTTTTTTCGTCTCTTATGTAATTTCGTAATGAAATGCTGACATGTACAGAACTATCGCTCACTATCTCTCTCTCTCTCTCTTTCTCTCTCTCTCTCTCTCTCTCTCTCTCTCTCTCTCTCTCTCTCTCTCTCTTTCTTTCTTTCTCTCTCTCTCTCTTTCTCTCTCTCCCCTACCTCCCTCCTCACCTCGTCTCATTCCTCAGTCGTCGGCGTGCTTCTGGATGAAAACCGATGATCGTGACAACTACGGGACGCCCTTCAGCTACGCCACGGACTCCCATGACAACGCCTTCACCGTCACTGACTACAGCGGGTGGGTACAAAGGGAAAAGGGCGGGGGGGGGGGTCAACCCATGTGAAGAGAGAGGAGTTTTAAGGGTACAGGCGAAAGGAAGTGGAGGAGACAATAGAAAAAAATATATATCATGAATTGATGATATATCTGTGTGATAATTTTTATATGAGATACACATTAATACAAATAGATTAGAGATTTATGTTTATGCCTTTGCAAATGTAATATATATATTTTTTGTATCTAACTGCAGTTTTGTGTTGTATGTGAACGGCGACAAGCGCATCACAGACGTCGGTGCCAACGACGGGCAGTGGCACTTTGTGTGTGTCACCTGGAAGAGCCTTAACGGTACTTGGGCCATTTACCTGGACGGCAACCTGGCCGACAGCGGCACTGGATTGGCACCGAATACGACCATAGAAGGTTGGTATCTGCACGTGCTTGCATTTGCCCACGTAGTTGCGCGCACGCGTGTGTGTGCTTGGATGTGTACACATACTTTTGTTTGTGCAGGTTTTCCACTGAATTACCATTAAGATCTTCCGATCTCTATCCTTCCTCGTAGCCTCAGGGACACTGGTGTTAGGACAGGAGCAGGACCAGCGCGGCGGCAGCTACAGTCCCCAGGAGTCCTTCCGAGGAGAAATCACGCTCTTGAACGTGTGGGACGAGGAGCTCTCGCTGGCCGACGTCGCAGGAACCTTCTCCCGCTGCGACAGATACGTCGGGAGTTTCGCCGGATGGCCGGACTTCCAAGCTGGGATCAAGGGGCAGGTCAAGGTGAGGCTCCCTGAGCAATTGCTCGTATTTATATGCCATTCACCTTTGCCATGTTCTAAACTTTGTGATATTTAGTTCACATACATTTTCATTTTTCTATTTCTTCTTTATAAAAGTATATAATCATCCACGTGCACATGAGCTGAAATGTTCGATCTCAATCCAATAGATAAACCACAAAGGAGCACCCTTCTTTCTGTATCCTACAGGTGAAGCCGTCAACCTTCTGTCGTGGCTGCGGCGTCCCATCGAAGCCCAGCGACGGCCAGGTGCAGGTGAGCGGCGAAGGTGCAGGTGCAGTGGCAACCATCGAGTGCGACCAAGGCTTCAAGTTGTACAGCGGCGACTCTGAGAGAACGTGCCTTGTGTATGGCATGTGGTCCGGTCCAGAACCGGAATGTCGACGTAAGTATTAAAAAGAAAGAAAGAAAGAAAACTTGCATCAGATTACTTCTTTCCGCTTCTGGCATATGTATATATATATATGTGTGTGTGTGTGTGTGTCTATATGTATAGTATATATATATATATATATGTATATATATATATATATATATATATTATATATATATATATATAATATATATATATAATATATATATATATATATAGATAAGAGAGAGAGAGAGAGAGAGAGAAGAGAGAGAGAGGGAGAGGAGAGAAAGGAAGGGGAGAGAGAGGGGGGATGGGGAGAGGAAAGAGAGAGAGAGAGGAGAGGAGAGGGGGGAAGAGAGAGGAGCGAGAGAAAGAGAGAGAGGGGGTGGGGAGAGAGGAAAGAAAGAGAGAGGAGAGGGGGGGAGAAAGAAAAGGAGAGGAGCGAGGGGAGGGAGAGAAAGAAAAGAGAGGGGGAGGGAAAAGAGAGAGAGCGGGGGGAGAGAGGGAAGCAGAGAGGAGAGAGAGAGAGCGAGGGGGAGGGAGAGAGAGAGAGAGGGGGAGAAAGAGAGAGCGAGGGGGGGCGAGAAAGAGAGAGCACGGGGAGAGAGGAGAGAGAGAGGGAGAGAGAGAGAGAGAGAGAGAGAGAGAGAGAGAGAAGAGAGAGATAAGAGAGAAGAGAAGAGTGAGAAAGAGCATAAATAACACACCTGTCTCCTCCGCACAGGCGTTACGTGTGGCTTCCCTGGGTACCTGCTGAACGGACACGTGGAGGGCACCGCATACAGCTTCGGGGACGCCGTCACCTACACATGCAACCCCGGCTTCGTGCTCCGCGGGTGAGCACCAGGACCTGCCAGGACGACGGCATTTGGACGGGAGAACACCCCGAGTGTGAAGGTCGGCCGGGGGGGGTCTTTCCTGCTCTTGGCTAAGCATAAGTAGATTGATGAGTAGTCTGATGAATATAGGTTGAGAGAGATAGAGATAAATTAGTCTTACGGAGAGAGAGAGAGAGAGAGAGAGAGAGAGAGAGAGAGAGAGAGAGAGAGAGAGAGAGAGAGAGAGAGAGAGAGAGAGAGAGAGAGAGAGAGAGATGCAGACGCCTACAACTGGAGACACAAATCAAAGAGGTACCAATGAGCGTCGCCATAACTGCAGAACTCCTCCCCGCAGTGATCAAGTGTCCGGACCTCCACGCGGGTCCCAACGGCCAGGTGACCAGTCATCTCGGGAACTACATGCCCACCAACCAGATATCCTTCGCCTGCGAGGAAGGATACCTGATGGACGGGCCTGCGGTGCTCACTTGCGGCGGCGACGGAGAGTGGGACGGGGCTCCTCCAGCCTGCCAGTCGGAGGCTTGCGGGGAAATGCCCAGGTAATCATCGCTGGACCTCAATCCCTTCAACGAGTAAACAACGAACGAACAACAAAAAATGCGGAATGGAAAGACGCACGCATGAATAAATATAATGACTTTATATTAAATGTAATAAGACTTTATAATAAATATAATGAGACTTTATGACAATTATAATAAGACTTTATAATAAATATAATAAGACTTTATAGTAAATATAATGAGACTTTATGATAAATATAAGATTTTATAATAAATATAATAAGACTTTATAATAAATGTAATGACTATTATAACAATCTCAACTCCACCTCCTCAGCATTGTGGATGGATACGCGGTGGGAGGCCCCGTCGTGCGGCCAGGGGAGCAGGTGGAGGTCAAGTGCAACCCAGGCTTCAAGCTGGACGGCGACCCCATGGTCACGTGCAAGGACGACTTCACCTGGTCGCGGCCGCTCCCCAAGTGCAAGGTCCCCAAGTGCGAGAAGCCTCCGGCCGTCCTCAACGGCAGGGTCAAGGTGGGCGGATTTGCTTGGAGTCGGGAATTCCGCTGTTCGATTAGAATACGAACACGCACACGCACACGCACACGCACACACGCACACGCACACCACACACACACACATGCACACGCACACACACACGCACACACAAACCTACACTGTGTGGATAAATTATGTCCATTTCCATTTCTATGTGCATGTATATTACATAAATACACATAAGAAAAAAATACATACACACACACACACACACACACACACACACATATATATATATATATATATATATATATATATATATATATATATATATATAGATAGATAGATAGATAGATAGATATAGACACACACACACACACACACGATAGGTTGATATACATGTATACATATATGTATATATATATACTTCTACATTAGATGATAGATGTGTTTACCCCTGACTCGGCCTCCATCAGGTGAGAGCCTCCTCCACCTCCAGGGAAGCCGTCTACATGTGCGAGCCTGGCTTCGTCGTGGTAGGGGCAAAAACCCTTTCCTGTGATGCTGATGGCGAGTGGAGCGGGCCTTGGTCCACGTGTGAAGCACTGCCTTGCCCCAACCCTACTGTGCCTGCCCACGCCGTCGTGCCCGAAAAGGATGTGTGGCGAGTAGGAGATCTTCTGTCGTATGAGTGCGAGTTGGGGTACCTTCTACAGGGGAACAGTCTCACCGAGTGTATCGACAATGGCGGTAAAGGCGAGTGGAATGGTGTGGTTCCCAAGTGTGTGATTGCTACGTGTTCGCCGCCCAGCAAGCCCGCGAATGGGATTGTTTCAGTCGTACACAGGCCGCAGGACGCTTCAGCTGGACACAATACATTGGTCCTTCCAACGGCGTCCGGGGAGTTTGAACTTCGTAGAAAACGCAGTCTAGATTTTCCGAGTTTTCCGAGTATTGGTCAGTCTAGTTCTGACAAGGACCCTGACTGGGTGCCGGATGGTTATGATTATGATTACTCGCATGGTACTGGTCAATCTTCGCTCGATTATTCTGATTATTCACAGAACACAGGCCAGTCAACCACAGACTATGATTATACTGGGCAGAAACCAGGTGGCTTTGAGTTACAAAGTGCTGGGGGTTCTGATTATGAAGACTTCGGTCAGCAAGCAGGTGGCTTAGACTTTTCTCAAACTACAGGACAGTCTTCTAATTATGACGACTTTGGTCAGCAAGCAGGTGGCTTCGATCTTTCTCAAAGTGCAGGACAGTCTTCTGATTATGAAGACTTTGGACAACAAAGTGGCTTTCAGTTAGGGACAAGTCAGTCCACAGATTTTGACTACATTGGGCAGAATACAGGTCAGACATTTACATCGTATGAAGACTTGTCTCAGTCTAGTACGCAACAAAATGCTGGTGGTCTCAGTCAGGTACAAAAGGGCGACTATGTATATGGTGTAGAAGTTGAATATGACTGCAGTCTTGGATATAAACTCCTTGGTGCCCGAAGAAGACACTGCACGGAAACAGGTGACTGGGATTCACCAGAACCTCGATGTTACGAACAGTTCTGCTCTGAGTTACCCCCTGTGCAGAATGGATATATTGTTTACCATGGGTCTGGTGTTAATAGTCAAGCAGAATATGTATGCAATCCTGGCTACAGCCTTGTTGGGGCAGACTTTCAACTCTTGTGCCAGATGAATAAGACATGGCTGGGAGAGATACCCACTTGCGAGATCATGGACTGTGGAGATCCACCGGATATCGGGAACGGAACTCTCTCATTCTCAACAACTACATATGGTTCTATGGTATCATATGACTGCTTCTTTGGGTTTGTGTTAGAGGGAAGCTTTGAGCGATACTGTGGAGCTTTCGGCTTCTGGAACGGCTCTAGTCCTCGCTGTATTGCTGTTACCTGTGACCCACCTGAGGTGATTGAAAATGGTTACATAAGCTTTGATGGGAGCCTGTTTGTAGGTTCCCCAATAGAGTACGAGTGCAAGGTTTGTTACAAGTTGAATGGGACACGCTACAGAACCTGCAATACAGATGGGACATGGACCCTAGAGGAACCAAGTTGCAACAGAATATACTGTAGTGAAATTCCTGCTAGCATCCCAAATGGGCG